TTTTAAGTAATAGTACTTAGTGGACATTCAGATTTTTGTGCGAATGTATCCTTTCAATTTTCTTGGGTATTTGCCTAGGAGTGGAATTGCTGGGTCATATGGTAACTTTATGTTTAACTCTCTGGGGAGCTATGGGACTGTGTTCTAAAGGGGCTGCACCATTTTCCATTCCCACCAATAGTCTACGAGGGGCCTGATTTCTCCACATCCTTACCAACACTAGTTAGTATTGTCTGTGTTTCTTATTTTAGCCAGCCTAGTGGGTGTGAAGAACTAGCTCGTGGTTTGATTGGCATTTTTCTGATGGATCACGATGTTCACCAGCTTTCATGTTCACCTTGGCTATTAATTAGCACGTCTACTTTGGGGACATGTCTATTCAAATCCTTCACCCCTTTTTAAATTGGGTTGTCTTTTTGTTGTTGAGTTGTAAAATTTCTTTTCTTTTTTTTTTTCTGGATACAAGTCCCTTATCAGACATGATTTCCAAATATTTTCAACCCAATCCCAGTGAGTTGTCTTCTCACTTTCTTAGTGGTGTCCTTCGTACCACAAAAGCTTTTAATCTTGGTGAACTCTAGTTTATCTATTTTTTCTTTCATTGCTTGTGCTTTTGTATCATATTTAAGGAACCATTGCCTAATCCAAGGTCACAGAGATTTATGCCTATGTTTTCTTCTAAGGATTTTATAGTTTTAGCTCTTACTATTATGTCTTGGATCCTGTTGGACTTAATGTTTATATATGGTATGAGGCAGAGGATGAACATTTTGAATATTTATATGCACCTTTTGTTGCAAAGACTGATCTCCATATTTAATTGTCTTGGCACTCTTATAAAAAAATTGACTATAAATGTAAGGGCTCATATCTGGACTCTCAAGCCTATTCCATTGATATGTATGCCTCTGATATGTTTTTTAATAATTTTTATTCCTGCGTTTGTATAGAATAGACTGTCTATATAGAAGCATACGAAGAAAATAAAAGAAAATATTGTTCCCACTGTGGTAGAATGTTCTCCACTTCTCTCTAGTAGGTGTACCTCACCACCCCCTTGCTCTTGCTTTATTATGGTGGGTGGGTGTGGGCTTGGTCTGTTTGCCTGGGCCGGGCCATGCAGTTTTCTGGGGTGCCAGTGAATATGACATAAGCAAATACTTGAAATGCAGTGGGTCTTGTTTTCTTGCACTTTTGTGATCACATGAAAAAAATGTGCTCTGCATAGCCACTGGTACCAAATGAGTGACAGATGCTTGGAACAAACCTGACCCGCTCTGTGACCTAGAGCCCAGCCAAGGTGAGCCAGACTTCAGTCAAACCTCAGACACTTGAGCAAGGAAGAATGCTTATCCTCCTTTACCACTACGGTGTTTGTGGTTGGTTGATCTGTAGCAATAGCCAACTAATACACCTACCACTTAGAGATAACCGCTCCTATCGGTTTGATCATTTGATAAAAACGAGACCATGAAAAAAAATTATGTATGTATATTTGGGGTCCTGTTTTTACTTAACATTTTTCTATAATACCCTGCGTTTTAAGGTAATAGATAAACACTCTTTTTATTATCCACTTATTTCAACCTTTAAATTATATATTTTTCTTAACCATTCGTTTATCACTTTTACTATTACAAGTAAAAATACAATGAATTTCACTTTCTCTCCCTCTCTCACATAAACCTTGGTCTACTTTTCGCATTATTTCCACAGAATGGATACCTAGAAGCAAACAGTTTTAATAAGTTTCTTATCCAGAGTTCAAGGTAGACCCACCAAACCCTGATTTCCATGTTATCATTCCTCATATTCTCAGCTAAACCCAGACTGTTTTGCTTCTTAAGAGATACAAATCAAATTTGATATCACTTTATAAAAAAGCCTTTTTTGTGTGTGAATTCTTCTAGTATGTTCCCAAACTGCCTTTGGACATTGACAGTTTATCCTGAAGAAGACAATTGTTGCCGCAGAAAATAAGCTGTGTGAAACCCCGCCTCTCTTGTTTTCCTTTAAGTTTATAGGGAAACAGGACATAGAGACAAGGTGTGAACACCTTGGGCATAGTCAAGAAGGGCTCACATCCCCAGAGATGGCAGAGGCTCTAATTTGCTCTCTGTCCATAAGACTACGTGGCATAGTGCCCAGGTACATTTGGTAAATCTATGTTGAGTACATGAATGTAAGAAGTACAGAGGAGGTTAAAGCAGCTATTCAGGCCAGAAATTACTGCCCTCGCAGTGATTAATAACTATTTTTAAGGCTTCTACAGTGACAAATAGGCTGCATCTGAAATTAGTGTAGGACTTTAAAGCATAGGCCAGATGGCTGATCCTGTATCTACACTTCCTGGGTGCTTGCTTCTTACCAAATAAATGGATCTCTCTGTTCTTTCTTTTACTTTCCCTTTTCTTAAGGAAAATCACATTTTCCAGGTCATCTAATAATGATTGATCTGGTTTCATTTTGGCAACGGCTGAAATGGTTGGTTACCTTGGAAACCCCAGCACACACACTGGCTGCCCGTGCACAGGACATACACTGAGCCCTCCAGGAAGTCTCGTCCTGGGTACCCATGGTTTGTCATCTTGCAACCAGAACCCCTAATCTCACCTGGCCACCTCCCCTCTGTGTCTGCTCGTTGGGGACCTGGGCCCCTCTGCTCCCACTTCTGCACTGGCTTTAGAGGCCGTCACCACTCAGCCCCTTGGGCTAAGCCTGGAGGTCCCCTTTCAGAGGCAACGACTGCTACCTGCCCCAGATACTTGGTACAGTAAGCTTCAGTCTTACCTA